GCAAGTTTCAGAAAAATCAGTGAATAGTGTTTTTCGCGGGTAAAATACCGCGTTACGATTGCACCGTAAAACGTGCCAGTTGAATTTTGAGCTCTAGGTTTCAAATATGAGTTATAAATGGTTGTTGAGTTAGGAAATATGATTTTGATAAAATTTGATGGAATTAAGTCATTTTGGGGAAAAAATTGATGAATAGTGATTTTCGGTGTAAAAATACTGCGGTATAATTGTACCGATAAGCGTGAAAATTTTATCAGTATTTTTAGGAAAAAAAAAATATGACATGAACAAGAAAAATACGTAGGTCATGAATTTGTGGTTGAAATTGATGATTGGATTAAAGTTAAATCGCGTGTGGGACCCGCCCTGCTCAAATTCACTTAAATCACCTCACTTTCCCCTCACACTCACGACACTCTCTCTCCTTCCCCTTTCTTCTTCAACGTGAAACAGCCCCTCCTCCCCCATTGGTGTGCAAATTTTCATTTGATCATAACTTAGCCATTTCTCCACCGAATCCAACGATTTTTGTCTTGAATCTTGATGGAAAACACCTCCTAAACACATTGGTACCACTCTTGAGCCTTGAAACTGTGCGTGTGAGAAGATACAGCCCTGTTTCAGTTGCGATTTTGGTGAGGAATTTTGTGTTCTTGGAGCTTTTAAATGCTCCAAAGGTGGAGTATGCTTAGGAAGAGTCTTATACCTTTCGTTTGGGTAAGTGTTCTTGCATTTTAAACGATTGATTGTGATGAATTGATTTTGTGACCTAAAGCCTTGATTGATGATATGTTGTGTTAGAGAGCTCAATTTGAAAATGTGTATTAGATGATGATGTGTTAGAATGATGTATTAATGCTAGAAACGCAATGAAAATTTTAGGTGAAATGTGATGATTTTTAACTTAGAATAATTTGATGGTCATGACATGGAATTTTGGAAAAATGTGTTGTGATGTTGATAATGAGTTGTTGTATGATAGAATGATGATATGATGTGATTGGTTGAGTTGAGGAATGGTTGAAAATGGAAAGAAATCCTTTGGAATGCTTTAGGGTAAAATTCGAACCTTTGAGGAAAAATTGAGGAATTGATGTTGAAAAATGAATTGGATGATGATTTGTGTAGTTATATAGTGCTTAGATGGGTTGTGTTGTTATTGGCAAGTGTTTGAATCAATGGGAAAAGTGAATTGTGTTTAGAGACCTAAATGAGCCCAAAGTGAAATATTTCGCAAACGATGCGTAAATGTCGTAAAACGGAAAAACGACGGTTGAACTAGCCTCTAAACAACCTAAGGGAGTGTAATAAAATGAGAAAGAAAATTTAGAAAAATAAATCCCCAATTAACACATATATGGCTGAACCTCCAAGGGAAAAATGGGGGATTTTGCAATTTTCGTGTTCTGATGTAATCCGACGCGAAAATGATGAACCGGCACTTGAATTGGCCTATTGACAACCTAATGAGACGTAACAAAATGAGAAAGAAAATTTAGAAAAATAAATCTCAAATTTACACTTCATTGGCCGAACCATCAAGGGAGGATGGGGAAGATTTTTGTGATTTTGCATTTTGATGCTATTTGACGCGTACTGATGGATGTACGTAATTGTATAGGTTGTCGTACGTTGACTTGAATCCCGAATCTTGATTCAGTGAGTTGCCATTGGTCTTGGACCAAGTGGATTGAGGCATTCTGCTGTGTACCAAGTTGAGGGATAAGCTGCTGCGGATCTTGTGGAAACAATATTTCAAGTAACCTCTTGGTACTGGGGCTTGTTCCCCTTTTCTGTTCCACCTTGCCAGTTGATGGCAACGGTAGGAAGTGTGTATGAATAGTAAACACATGAGCATGCATGCATTATTGCTATGGGTACTTATGTACCGAGTCTCTGGCCAGTAGACAGTTTTATTAGCCTTCGGGCATTTTCGGACTTCCGCTGGATAGGTCTCCAGGAGGGAGTTCCAGTTGACTGCGTGTCATGGTGTGTGATCCGGGTAGGAGCACACTAGGAATGTCTTTGGCGTTTTGGATGGTTTGGGCATCATGGATGTGGTTTCTTTGAACGCACCATAGATGATACCCATAGGCTTATATATGCCCAGGGCGTACGTGGAATTGGGGTTCCCATCCCGTATCGTCGTAGTTTGTATCTTTATACTCCTCATTTCTCTAAACCTCTTGCTATATCCCGTTTTCAAAGTGGTTGTTGTATTCTATTGATATGCATCGAAGTGAACCATTGGGTGGAGTTTTCTCCAGAACCTCTTGGTTACTGAGATATATTCGTATATCTCACCCCGTCTCGGGGCATTTATTTCAGGAGGTAGCAGTGGAGCAGGAGCCTCGGACAAGAGGCCCGCAGAGTGAGCGCTGGAGCGCTTCATATTTTGTATTTTGTTGGCCGTGTAGCCTAGGCTAGACTTAGGGCATGAACATGTCATTTGTATTTATTAGTAGCTTCATTAGCATCTTGTTCATACCATTTTGCCTAAGTCTAGTAGTGATGTATTTGGTTATGTTGTCTTTTAAATTTAAGATGTAATTTTAGAAGAATGTAATTTGAAGTTTTAGTTTCAAGTTGTGATTTGTAAAGCCATATTGTAATAGTATTGATGCATGTCTATTTATGATGGAAGGGCCTTAGGCCTATTTTAGGTTATGATAATATGTATGATGGAAATATGCATGAAAAAGGTGTTAGTGATTGCAACTACTTAAAAATGATTAATATGGACTCTATGTTTAATAACTATAAACTGGATTGGGTTGTAAGTGCCCCAAGGCGTTGTTGGTCCTTGTGTGTGCCACCCATTGGATTATTACTGTATTATCATGTGTTTATTAGGTACATTTGAGGTTTAAATGATCTTTTACAAATTTGGGATTATTGGAAAAACAAAGGAAACTCTGGCGAATTTTCTGTAGAATTGGCAGATTTTAGGCGAACTTCGGGAGAGCATATATCCCTCCATAGAGGTCCCCTAGGAACGTGCCATACGCCATTTTGAAGGTTGAGATGTCCTCTAACTTGTGTCAAAATTTGAGGAAATTATGGGTTGATCTTCGGCCTGAAAAATAGAGAAACACGGACTGTCCATGTGCCCCTGCACCTGAGGCAGATTCTGGACCGGATTTGGGAAATTAATTCCCGCTTCATTTCTCAGTCAAATTAAGCGTGTGATATATAAAAATGAAGTTTTAGATGTCTAGTTTGTAGGATAAAAATTTTAAAGCAAATGGTTGAATGGTTTGAGTGCAGAAATTCGAGTAATGTGAGTGGTTTGGGGCTGTTTTTGGGGTTGTTTGGCTATTTGCTGATCCAACTTCAAACGGCGATAACCGGAGCTAATGAGCTCTGAATTTAGCATATGATAGCTTGTTGAAAAGGGAATTAAGTAAGACAAAGATATAATCGGAGAAAATAGTTTGATGGAGATCGGTTTGGTCGCAGAAAAATTTAGAGTGAAACATGTTCGAATTGGTAAAAACGTGAAGTTTGAAAATTGGCTAAGTGAGTTTATGGGAACTCCTTAGTAACTTATAATAAGTAATGTAGGTTATAAAAATAGTTTAAATAAGTCTTCCGCAAGAGTTTACGGTTACGGTCACAGCTTTTAATTATTACGCCTTTTTATGTTTTAAATGCTCGCGTAATAATCGGAAAAAAATTTATTCGCGTTTTTATAAATGAACTGCTGTGATTGTAACTGCGCTTAATATCATAATTAATGTTAACAATACCGGTACGTAACGGGCTGTTACAGAATACGTCGGTATTCTCATTAAGAAACGAGACTAGTTGCGTTTTAGTTTTAGCCTCCAAGCCTTTTCCGACATTGGTATGGCGTTTGCTATCCTCCCCGATGCTGATGTCTTCTAACTCTCCTTGGGGTTCTAGACGAGGTGCTTGAAGCTCCTCTCTCATGTCCAGCTCGACCAGATTTACTTGATTTCGCATGGGTATACGGATTGGTCTCTGAAGGAGACTTTGTCTCCTCCTCTGACTCTTGGAGGGGCTGACGGCCCACCCTGAAATATCCTCATTGTTACATAGTAGCATTCTCTAGATTCCTTCTGATCTCCTCGTATGGTGATGACTCATTCTTTGACCTCGTCATTTTTAGTGCTTGATGCTTGGTTGAGACTAACATGTCACATTCGTGGATTGTAGGTCAGCCAATGATGACGTTGTAAGATGAGGTCGCATCTACTACTATAAATCTGACTTTGCCAGCCCGGAATGCCTCCTTAGTTCCCAAAGTTAACTTTAGGTCAATGTATGCCTTTGGGGAGACGGTTCTCCATTGAAACCAATTAGCTCGGTGATACATGGTTTTAAATCCTGGTCATCTAGGTTCATCTTTTAGAAGGCATTCCAAAAGAGTATGTCGGCTGAGCTTCTGGGATCAATGAAAATCCTTTTGACCCGGCAATTAACTAACATCCCAGTGATTACTAAGCCATCAGTGTGGCCTGGGATGACCTTTTGTAGTTCTTCAGTAAAAAATAAGTTGGGGGGGTCAGGCTTACTAGCTCTTCCTTTGAATGTAGGTTTGTCTCTGACCGACATGACCTCTTTTAAGTATCTCCTTCTAGCACTTGCAGTGTCACCTCCACCTCTCAAGGTTCCACTTATCACATTGTATTCGAAGTCAGCTTCTTGGTACTCCTCATCCTTGTCTTCGACCTTCTTCCCTTTATTGGGACGGTCTTGTCCTTGATCTTTCCTGTCATCCCTCTTCGGGCTAGGGCTTCTGCTCCGGTTTCTCTCCCTTCACTTGCTATTTTTCTTGCCTTGAGTTCGGATGAGGTATTGCTTAAGCTTCCCTTCTCTGATGTGCTTTTCAATAGAATCTTGGAGATCCAGCAGTCATCCGTTGTATGGCCATTCTGATCATGAAAAGCACAATATTTATTCCTGTCCAACCCGCCCTTGTTTTTAATGGGTCGAGGCCTTTCGACATTACGCATCTCAGTTTGAGCCACCTCTTTCTATATCCGAGATCTGGACATGTTAAATGGAGCATAACTGCCAAACTTAGTTTTTGAGGAACGTTCATCTGACCTCTTATTGTGAGAGTTGGATGCCTTCTTTGACCCTTGCAGATATCTATCCTTGCTCTTCTTACTTGGACTCTGGCGATTTGGGCTTCGACCTCTAGATTCGCCATAGGCTCTCTGCATGTCTTCGACGTCGATATACTTATCTGACCTCCGTCGAAACTCCTCTAGGTCGTTGATCGGGTTCTTGTATATAGATTTTGCGAGTGGAGATTCGCCATCCAGACCAGAAATAATCAAATACAAATGGACTGGTTCAGTTAATTTTCGTACCTTGAGGGCGGCTTCCTTAAAGAGATCAAGGTATTTTAGAAATGATTCATTCTCTCTTTGCCGGATTCTTCCCAGAGCATAAGCCGACATAGGATGTGCTTTACTAGTGGCGTAGTTTAAGCGAAAAGTACGAGCCAAGTCCTCAAATGAATCAATTGAGTTTCTGGGTAGCCTGGTTATCCAAGTCATTGCCTGACCTATCAAGGTCATTGCAAAGATTTTGGCCTTGAAAGGTCCAGTTATCTTATTAAACATCATCTCCGTCTTGAACGCCTCTAAGTGGGCGTCTAGGTCCTGACTTCCGTCATAAGGAGGTATTTTGGCACTTTTGAACCTCGGCGGAATTGCCAAGTTCATGAGCCTCTGGGTGAATGGACTGTCATTAGCATCATCGTCATGGAGATAGTTATCTCCTTGGTCGTTGCCCTGACCTCCATTTTCATGCTGGTTCTCGTTGTGAACACCTCGAACCTGCTCAGTTGCTGGGTTTCAGCGTTCTTGCCCCTCAGCTTCAGGTCGGCCTTCAGTGGCAGGTCGACCTTCTCTTCCAACTCGGCCTTCTCTTCCAGCTCGGCCTTCAGTGTTCTGGTTCCATAGCTCGGCTTCCAGTGCCTCCATTCTTTGAGCATCCAACCTCTGTTGAGCCAGGAACCTGTTCTCCATCTCTTGCATCCTTTGGAGGATTTCATTCAAGGCAGTGTTAGATATGTGATCATCAACTCTGGGTTGTTCATTCAGCGGTGGCTGACGTACTGGCTCCGTCACAGGGTTGCTTCGGGACGTGATGTGCAATGACTCAGTGCCGACCTCTCTGACCTGCACATCCACCAGAACCGGTTCGGCGAGCTGTTGAAGACGCTCGATGGCATATTGATGCAGTGGTGGGGGTTGAGCAATGCTTGATGTCGCACGAGTGTTCGTCATCGTGGAATGGGAATCGAAATTTATCGTTTCCCACAGACGGCCAATGTTCGGTTCTAGAGGAACCATGATAAATACTGTATAGTATGCGCTCAGAGATACCTTATAGAGAGGTATCTTGGTTGGCTTATAGGCATTATCTAAATCACTGCACACAAGCAATAGACTTATAGCCAAAACGTGGGTGTGTGCACAATGTTGGCAATAATAGTAAATAGGTCAAAAAGTGTGTACCTGGGGTCTTTAGCCTCTTATTTATAAGGGTTACCTCTTGGGTTTGTGTAGATCTCCCAGTTATAGTAGGATTCAACTCCTCTTCTGTTAGGATATAGACTTTATCCTGATTGACCTTATTGTTTAGATATTATTAGGATAATTGGGTAATTACCCTTTAAGGGATCCTTGGGTAGGTAGTTAAGATATGGAATATATCCATGACAGAAACAATTCAGGTAATAAACCAATTGTAATATCTCCAAGAATTCAACACGAAATCAGTTGGTATTTGAAGCACTTCAAACGTAATAAACGTTAAAAGATATAGATTTGGGCTAGTAATTTGTGAGTCTTGTTAGACTTTATTGTTTTATTTATAATAAAAGATGTGATCAATTTCAACTGGTATTTTTTGTGGATATGGTAATTGTTGCAGAACAATTCCATAACCATACAGGTTCAAATGTTGGTAATATGGATGATATATTTAATGAGGTATTTCATAATACCTTTTATTTATTTATTTTTTTGTGTCATCAATCGAAAACTTTTACTATAATTCTTATGTAGGGATAGAATATTGTCATTACCAATGTCACTATCAATGTATTACTACAATGTCAATACCGATTAGAAGCTCATCTAAGACCTATACAATATACATGATTAATTCAATACCATATATTTCAACACTTAAAAAAAAATAATTCCATGCAAACAATGCTAAGTTAGAGAATTGGAAACCATTTAAATAATAATAATAATAATAATAATAATAATAATAATAAAAACCAACATTTTAAAAAATGACCCTTTTGGGAGTGATGATTGAAGACTACATTTGAATGCCATTTTTTTCCTAACAAAATATTCCAAAGAGTAACTTGTAAACTCAAAGGACTAGAAAAAATTCTAAGTTATCTCAGAGGGCCGAGACATCACTAATTCTAGGCTCCAAAATAGCAGTTAAACCACTTTTATGTTTCTTAGCAAAATTTCTCATGATATTTTAAAAGGCTTTTTACTTGCTCCCCTACAATTTCAATTTCGATAATTCATTCAAAAGTGGTGGAGGGTTCAGGATTAAGAAGAACTTGGGTCTTGATTTTTCTCTTTCCTTTCAAATTGTCATTCCTTGTGGGGTGAGGACCTTTTTTATTAGTCAAGTCAGTGCCAAAGGATTTGTTGGAAATTTGGTTTCTGTTCTGTTTTGGGGGCATAGGCTTTTTCTACATTGAACAATCATCCTAGGATCCACTTCTTGGATATGAAGCAATTCTAAAGATGCTTCAACAGTCTTCTCAATTATTTTAGTAGTCACGGCCAAATGTTGTTGTTTAATCAAGTTTTGGTAAGATTCATTGTTATGTCAATAATGGCCACAACGAAGGAAAATGAGATACAAACCTTCATACTCAATCTTCCTTTTACAACCTTCTAATAAATATTCACCTCAAGGATTTGGATAGATTTAAGTCAACACAAACTTTCACAAATCTACCTCTATCTCCAGTAGAGGTGGTTTTATATACTTTCAAATTTTTCCTATAACATTACCAAGGTAGTTTAGAAATGGAAATTCAAAGAATTCTTAAGCAATACTTAGTAGGAAAATTCAGGCAACAAGTTTATAGATATTAGCTATCTCTGAGTCATAACATGGTTTCCATTTTCGGACAGTCGGGTAGTACCCAAAATGATCCAAGGTCCTCTTATAATAGCCAAGTTAAGGTCTTTGAGGTACGTGAACTTAACAGAGTAGAAATCATTCCCTATATTAGTAGTCGTAATGGCTCTACTTTTTTCTTCATGAAACCTGCACCAACCTTCTTCCCCAAGAGTTTCACAATGAGAGCATTTTGCCATGACTTCTTCGTTCTCATTTTAGCCTTTTTGGTGCACTTGATGTTAAGGATCCATCTTCCTCCACTATAGTATGAAATCTTTATTCTGACACCTTCCTTATCATAGGGTCTAGGGGTTTAGCTTCCTCATCTACCATTCCTGATACCCAATTCAGACTGTCTCCATAAATCCAATTTTTCATACACATGGCTTTGACCCAAGATTTTGATTTCATTTCTGGGTATACGTCCAAAGGGGAACCCAGGTTTACTCTTCGGTTAGTAGCTTTAGACGAGAACTCTTCACCTTTCTTTGAGCGCTTGACGCTTTTCGTAAGGCCAATCGAAGCATCACGAAGGGCAGAACTCAAATCTTCCATGAATGACTTATATTAGTTTCAAGATGAAGCCCTAACGGAGTGAGAGAGAAAAAAATGAATGTATGGATTACACGCTCTTTACCTGACCTTTTTTACCGTTAAAGAAAAAAACTTAGTATCTCTATCATATTAAAAAGAAAGAGGTGGTACATTATTGTAACGACAAGTTAAAATGTAATAATAATTTTGCCTGACCTTTTTTACCGTTAAAGAAAAAAACTTAGTATCTCTATCATATTAAAAAGAAAGAGGTGGTACATTATTGTAACGACAAGTTAAAATGTAATAATAATTTTGCTTGCATGATTAATAAATAACGTGGATTATGAGACATTAAAAGAAGTGGATCTGGGTCAGTAATCTATGAGCATCGTTAGATTTCATTTTTTATATTTATAATAAATGGTGCAAAAGGTACTCACTGGCATTCGTGGTCGATGTGGTAATTGTTGTAGAACAATTCCACAACGACTCGCGTTCAAATGTCGGTATCGTGGGGAGAATGCACATTAAATGAGGTATTTCAAAATACCTCTTTTTTATTTTTTGTCATCATAAAACTTTTATTATAATTCTTATGTATTACATATAGTAGTTATATTGATTTATTAGTATAAAATATATCAATTTTTAAAAATAAATAATATTAACTTGAAGGGAGGGCTAGTCCCCTCTAACCTCTCCCTCATTCTACCAATGATTTTATGAAAATTTTTGTTTTTTAATTTTATTTTTATGTATATATTTTTCTTCATTCTTTCCTCTGTTCTTTTAATTTTTCTATAAAAATTAAAATTAAACGAAAGAAGTTAATTATAGATATGTTTGAAGTTTTATTTTAAAAAAACATGATATTTTAAAATTATCTTCAGAAACCACAATTTTTAAATTTAGAAAAAAATACTAAAATAATCTTTTCTGAGATTTAAAAAAAAAAACTCGATTATATTATTGATATTTTAAACATGTCTTTTTTCTAATAAAAAAACATTTTTCTTTGAAAAATCCAAACACACCTCACATTTCAAATAATCAAGAGCAATGTTTACATATTTGACAAAAAAAAAAAAATACATTGAATACATATTTTTTTTTTTTTTTGATATAAACATTGAATACATATTTAGTATTTCACAATAAAATTATTGAAAAAATGTGTGTCATTTCATAGACACGAACATGTGCAAATTCCACTGAAGATAAATAAAGACAAAATAAAAATAAAAATAAAAATATAAATATAAATAAAAATATAGATATCACCTCTTTATATCTATAAATGATACAACTTGCGTCATTTAAAACGACACATTTGTTTTGGATGAAAATTATATGTTAAAATTGATTTTGGATGAAAATCTAATTAAATAGTACTATTTTCTTTGTTTAACTCTTAAGCATTCTCATGCATCATTTATCGTTTCTCTTTAGTATTTATTTTGATATTCAGACAACAAATGAAACACGAGAAAAAAAAAAGACAAACTCAATTGTAAAAATAAAAAATAAAAATGGGAAGACTTAAAAAATTTCCAAGATTTTTTTTCTCGAGTAAAATCATAAATTTTCATGTGACATTAGGATTCATCTTATAATAAACCCTCACTAGGTAATTGTAAATTTGTTGACACCTCAACAAAATAAATCAAAAGGAAAGAAAGTTCCCTGAATAACAATTGCTTCACATAATGCATTAAAACTTGATCCTTCTAAATACTGTGCATACAAAAAGAGAATGCACACAAATGATGTGCTAAATAAAAGAGAATCTTAGACAAAAATTCAACACCAAATCAATTAGTATTTAAAGCACCTCAAAACATTTTTCCCTAGAAATAAAAAATCAACAAAGGCATTTGAATAATGAAGAAGCATACAAAAATCCAACCATCGAAGCCTTTGCATTTTCCTATAGATGTTCCAAATGCTCAACTATGAAGTTATAAAAATACATCTTCTGGAATTAATGTATTTAATTTTCTAATCTGCATCCATT